ACTACTTAATTGGTGATCAAACAATAAATAGTGTAATGAGTATGTAAAATCAATCAAACAATAACATGAAATTCCTAAATTAAAGTCTTGAATTGAAATAAATGAAACTAGGGTTCAAACATTCATTCAATACAATTAAAAAACTTAGTCAACCATCTTAATTATTAAACTATATAAGAAATAAAGAAAAGGCATCACCCAGATCGAGAAATAATGGAGAAATTGGAAAAATCAAATTTCTTGGCTTGAATCTTAACTTTGGATTAAGCATCTTCAATAAACTTGTATAATTTCCCTTTGGTTAATAATTGCGCCTCGTTCCTTGCCTCCAAAATATATTGAGTCTATGAATTTTTAGGTCTAGGAAGGTCTTTTTCACGTTTTGGACTGCTTATGGTATATATGGAGTGTCAAAAGATTGTATACCAAAAGTTTCCAAAACAAAATAAGGAAACGCAATTTTTGTCCCGGAGATGAACCATGCGTACACATGGTTCACTTTGTGCATACGCACGGTAAACATGATTCAGCCTCAGTAACTCTATAATGGGTTTGTGCGTACGCAAGGCCTACAGGTCTATGCGTATGCATGGTTTTACCATTTTGGGACCAAATTACATGTTGGTCCCTGAACTTTCCCAAATGTGTATTTTGATCATTTTCAACAATTTTTTCATCCCGTTAGCTTCTCTTCACTTCCAATTGACCATCAGCATTCTTGAATTGCCCTCTTGCAATCCGACACAACTATTGAAATGTTGCACTTTAGTCCCCATAGTTTGGATTTCGCCATTTTTCACTTGTTTTCTCTGATTCTTTATCAAATCATGAGTTTTAGCTATTAGACACAATATAACATAAATTAGGTTATATTTCATCTAAAGAATTACAAAATGTCATTATTTAAAGCCTCGAATAAGTGTATAAAATACGCTTATCATTGCTGACTATCATTTTGCCCTGCTATGAGACTTTGGTTGGCTATTTCAGTCCAACTGTCAGTATCATTTTGGTGTCAGATTATTGGCATGAAAGGTGACCAAATGTTGAAAATCCTATGTGCTAGGCATAACATATGATCATAGTAACGCACTTGGGGTTGTGATATTAGTCAACAATTCTTGAACTTTGTGATTTATTAATTAGACAAAGTAATCTGCGAGAAAAATTGTCTTCATGGCAGAATTC